AACTACCTCATCCCTTCTACCTCTGCCTGCTCCCTCCTCTTCCTGTTCAGTCCTCCCTCCTCCCTCCACCGCGCTCATTTCTCCTTGCTCCCTTCTCTGCTCCTCCTACGTGGGGCGTTTCACGACAACGACGACGACGACGCCGACGAGAACGATGACCACGACGGCGACAACGAGGGCAACGACGACCACGACGACGACGACGAGGACGATGGCCACGACGGCTACCAGCGACGACGACTAGCGACGACGACGATCGACGACGACGACGCCGACCACGACGACGACGGCGAGGACGACAACGAGCGACGACGACGACGACAATCGACGCCGACGAGGAACGACGACGGCGAACGAGGACGACGACTACGACGACGAGATGACGAAGGATCGAAGATCGAACCTCGAAGTGCGAAGCTTCGAAATTCAAACTCCGATCTTCGAACTCCGAACTTCCAGCTTCTAACTGCGAACGTCGCTGGGGTGCCAGGGATGGACTGGGATGGAGGGGAAATGGGAAGGAAAAGCGAGGAAGCGGGAGAGGAAGTTGGAGGAGAACGAACAGGCGTGGAGCGACGAGGAACGGGCGGCGAGGGGCCGACGTTGAGGGCGGCGGGATGGGGGGACAGGGAGGAGAGGGGAGACTTCAAAACGAAAATCGCGCCACGGCGCCTGCGCGCGCGCTCCCGATCTCGGCGGCCGACGCGCGCGCCCCTGCAGAAACGCAACGCGCCCTTAATTCGAGCCCCGCTGCTGCGGAGCCACCTACTCCACGACAAAATCGTCTGGGGAGCTGTTCGGACCCCAAACTACTAGTTCTTCAGCCACTCGGCTCTTGCGAGTCCGCCCTCATGACAAAGGGCAACCTTCACATGGGGACACTCAATGGGGTGTTGATTGAGAACGCCCCATGTGGCTGGTGGCAGGAACGGACGAGGGGGGGCGGATAGAGGAGCAGGACGAGCACTGGCAGGGGATATGCACCAGGAGAGAGATCTCATGGAGGAAGAGGAGGGGAGGGGACGAGAGCCACTCATAATTAAGCGCACGCAGGCCCACGCACGTGCTCCATTTCTCAGCGACCGCCGCGCCGCCATGAGAACTGTCGTACCACCGCCGCTAATGCGGCGGATGCGTGACCTCTCCCATCCCTGTCCTGCGCTGTTTCTGCCACCGCCCTCCCCCCTTCCAGCCAAGCTCGGGTTTCATGCTCGGAGACGGGCGCGGCTGGCGGCTCTTAGTGCGGGTGCGCGTGCTGCCTCCAACTCCTCATCCCCCTCCTCCTCCTCTCCTCATCCCCCCTCCTCTTCCTCCTCATCCTCCTCTATCGGCCCAGCTCCGATCGCCACTCAGCTCCCCTGGCGCGGCTGGCGGCAAAAGTACCGAATATTGCCTGGGATGTCCTTCACCTTCTTCTTCGACATCTCAAGCATCATCTTGCCCATCTCCTCGGTACGGCGCGCCTCCTCCATCATCTGCCGCGCCTGGTCGACGAGCATCTGGCCCTTCACTCCAACGGCGCGTGCATGGCGGCAACGATTGCGCCGCTGGAGAAACCGCACCACCATGGTCGCCCAGTGCCAAACACTGCCCTCCGTCGTGATGAGCTCGAAGTCATCGACGTCGTACTTGCCCGCGATGCTCGCCATAGCGGCGCAAAAACCGCGAAGGAGCCTCCTCTGGCAGTCCCCGCTGCTGCGGAGACTTCGGCAGAGGCTCCTGCGCGGCTCCAGTCGCGGAGGCGGGCGGGCGCGGCGGGAGGCAGACCTGCAACGGCTGCGGCTTCACTTTGTCGCATTTCCATCCCTCCCTGCACTCGCGTGGCTTTTCCCATTGCGCCAGTCTGCTGCTCCCACTTCCGAACTACCTCATCCCTTCTACCTCCATCTGCACCCTCCTCTTCCTGTTCAATCCTCCCTCCTCCCTCCACCGTGCTCATTTCTCCTTGCTCCCTTCTCTGCTCCTCCTGCGTGGGGCGTTTCACGACAACGACGACGACGATGACCACGACGGCGACAACGAGGGCGACGACGGCCACGACGACGACGACGAGGACGATGACCACGACGGCGACCAGCGACGACGACTAGCGACGACAACGACCGACGACGACGACGCCGACCACGACGACGACGGCGACGACGACAACGAGCGACGACGACAACGACAATCGACGCCGACGAGGAACGACGACGACGAACGAGGACGACGATTACGACGACGAGATGACGAAGGTTCGAAGATCGAACCTCGAAGTGCGAAGCTTCGAAATTCAAACTGCAACCTTCGAACTCCGAACTTCAAACTTCGAACTGCGAACTTCGCTGGGATGCCAGGGGTGCAATGGGATGGAGGGAAAAATGGGAAGGAGAGAACGAGGAAGCGGGAGAGGAAATTGGAGGAGAACGAACAGGCGTGGAGCGACGAGGAACGGGCGGCGAGGAGCCGACGTTGAGGGCGGCGGGATGGGGGGACAGGGAGGAGAGGGAAGACTTCTTTA